GTATAGAATTATAAATATACATGCTATACATCGTAATTTATAAACCATACTATACATATTTACTATTCTATACTATACATAATATTATATATTCCATATTTTCACGGCTGATATTTTCAAAACGAACTTTCTTTTTTGTCGCTTTTTTGATTGTGTTATGGTTGTTTGTAAAATCTTAAAAAGGAAGAAATTTTATTTTGCGTGAAGAAAATCTTGTTGAAAATAATAGCTATAAAAATCATGAGTGTTAGGACCCGTTTAATAAATCAGTTATTACACGTATTTGTCGTCGACATCGTGAAACACCATTGTGGCTATACCACAATAATATCTGTGATGTTTAATGATACTATGATGAAACGTAAAAAAACTATTACTAATTATATTAATAAATATACAATATTGAATAACAGAATACGCATTTTATCTAGCATAAAGGTTTATTTATTTATTTATTTATTTATTTCATATCTTATCTTATTCGAAAGAGAAAAAAAAAGAAAAAAACATAACGATTGTGATTTTAATAATAATACGTAATAATAGTAAAATAGTAAATCGAATGAATGATGAAATCGAGAAAGTTGTTAATCCAGACTATAATCAAACATATAACCCGCTTCTGAAGCGCTCCGGAGTGGGTTATATGTTTTATTATTAACTGGAGCATTCCATTAACAACCCTAATAACAAGATAGAAAACTACGAAGAATGATTCCATACGCATGTATATCTCTCGTCTTAATTCCGTTATGCCAGCTAAAAATTTTGATTTTTTTTTTTTTTTATTGTTTATAATTGATTTTTCCAGAGAATGAGTGAATAATTTTTGACCAAATAATCTTTGCCTGTCTATTTATACATAATATTTATTGCCATTTTTTTTCTATTTTTAATGTTGTTCGGGACGAAGGGTCGGAAACCCAAAATCTAAGGGGTTAATTCTATTTCGCTAAAAAATTATAATTCTAAAAAATATTATTCACCTTTCTATATTTATTGTCCAGTGAATTTATTAAATTACTAAATATTTTCAATTAATATCCCGTCGAGATCGAGATGAGTATCGATAATTATAATATTATGTTTTTATTTCTATATTGTTTTATGTTTCATTTCAACCATTTATAAAAATAATCGTCCTTTAACTATATCGTTCTGTGATTCATACATATCGTTTTGCACCGAAAATAACTGCTGTCGGTTTTGTTGTTGAGGAATAGAATAAAGATGGTTGATTCCTTCAAATTTCAACAGCAACATCAGATAATACTTCATAGCAACTACATCGCAATTGATGGTGTTCTTCTAAAATTCGATATGAATTATCACGTAGCCAAGGAACATCTCCCATAAATTTACTAACGAATGTGTAAATTTTATGAAGGAACGTATCCATTGGACCTATATCGATACTGCTTCGATTACTATTGTCACTATGTTGGTCGTCATCGTCATATTGATTTAAATCATTATAAGGTTTAAAATCATCAGTTTTTGATCGAAATTGTTGATGTGCAACATAAAATTAACCTTGTTCGTATTCAACATTCGTAATTTTAATCTTTCATCTGGATCCAAAACGTAAGATTGATCAGCCTCCCCATTCTTGACTCAACGCTATAAATTTTCACAAATTCATAATTGTAATTGAGACACGTTTTCGAAACCATTTTGTGGTATCATAGACCTGCTCCTTTTGTCATGGTTTGATGAATAGGAATAAGTTGCGGATTATTTGCATTAAACTATTTACTATAGTTTAATGTGATGGTACTGACGTTGCTACGGTAACATTAAGAAACATTAAGATTGTTGTACCAAATTTAGCGAAGTAGCGATTTGAGCTAGTTGTGGAGTTTGAAATCGTACAGGAATGTATTAGCTAGAGACCAAAGCCATAAGCATAGCGGGATTGTCGACATTTAAACTAAGGAAGGTGCTGTCTATCCATTCGTAGATCATATTTATTCTATTATGAAAAAATAAGAACAATAAAATTTTTTTTGAGACCTTGGATCCAGTGTTGTTGTCGTATGGCTTTTATTGCTTCATCTTCTGGAACTGTTATTAACGCATCTTCAGGGTGTATAATAACATTGACGCTTGGACTTCAAACACGCCGCATATAATGTGAGTCTTTCTGTCGCATTTGACTATGAACGGTTTGGGTGTCCTAGATTGCTGGACATCGGTAATGAGAGTACAATAGAGAAGAGTTGGTTTGGGATGATGGTTCATTAATATCTGTTCAATTGCTAATCTTGGTATTGTTGAGTGGAAATCGAATTCTAATTTGATAAGCCAAACACCACAAATTTGAAGAACGTCAAGCAAGAAAAAAAAGGGGTTTCCGATTATTGGAATTGGGACAAAATAGATCCACAAATTCGATTAGCAAAAAAAATTTGATTATGATTACTATTGGGATTGGGACAAAATAGATACACAAATTCGATTAGCAAAAAAAAATTTGATTTTGATTACTATTGGAATTGGGACAAAATAGATACACAAATTCGATTAGCAAAAAAAATTTGATCATGATTACTATTGGGACAAAATAGATACACAAAATTAGATTGGCAAAAAAAACTTCAATTTTAAGAAAGCGTAGTACTAACAACAAAAAAATAACATGATTATAGTATTAAAATCGCAGATCATACAATTATACGTAATGAACTTTATACGTATAAAAAAAATTTTTCTATGCAGTGTAGCATGTATAATTATAAATGAAGATTTTGATCTGTGAGAAATTGCATCCGAAAGCTTTCTATAAATATGAACATAATCTCGTCTTTCATTACATTTCATTTTTTAACAATATCTTTTAAGATATTTCGGCTATCATAGCAACTATCCATTGTCGCATCCACTTTTTCTAATGTCTTATCCAAATCAACAAAGGCGAAGCCGTTACGCGACTAACGCATGTACTAATTGTAG